TGGAAAAGACATCCCATGTGGATGCGGTAAGAACCCCTGGCGTGGCAGGAGAGGGTGATGGAGCCGTCGGGGGTTTCTGTGTGGGAAACCGAGACCTTGGGAGGCACTGGGAGGAGACACAGGGCATTAGCCACACGCCAGGGGCTGGGACCATGTAACAGAACAGGTAAAGGCCCTGCAGCGTGTCTGATAGACTTTAAGGTCAGAAGAGACCATTGTGGTCACTAGTCTGACCTCCTGCACATCGCAGGCCACAGAACCTCCCTCACCCGCTCCTGCAACAGACCCCAACCTCTGGCTGAGCTATTGGAGTCCTCAAATCATGAGTTAAAGATTTAAAGTTACAGAGAATTCACCATTGACACTAGTTTAAACCAGCAGTGACTCGTGCCCCATGCTGCAGAGGAAGGTGAAACCCCCCCAGGGTCTCTGCCAGGGCCGGCTCTACCATTTTTGCCGCCCCAAGAATGGACGAAATGCCACCCCTTAGCATGTGCCGCCCGAGGCACGTGCTTCCTCCGCTGGTGCCTGGAGCCGGCCCTGGTCTCTGCCAATCTGACCCGGGGGAAAATTCCTTCCTGACCCCAAATCTGGTGATCAATTAGATCCTGAACATGTGGGTGAGACCCACCAGCCAGACACCTGGGAAAGAATTCTCTGTAGTAACTCAGAGCCCTCCTCATCTAACGTCCCATCTCTGGCCATTGGGGATTTTTGCTACCGGCAGTCGCCGATGGGCCACACACCATCATAGGTGGACCCATCATCCTGGGTGCACCGGTCCTGGGGTGGCTGGAGCAGCCGCTGCTCAGTGGCCTCCGGCAGCTGGTGCTGCTGGCCCCATCCCCCCGCCCCCAAGATTTAGTCAGTGGTATTTATAGTGTAAGTCATGGACAGGTCATGGGCCATGAAATTTTGTTTACTGCCCATGATCTGTCCACGATTTTTACTAAAAATACCCATGACTAAATCATAGCCTTAAACATAAGAGGTGCCATACAGGGCAAGACCAAGGTCTCCAACTGTAGCCAATACCAGAGATTCAAGGAAAGTTTTCAGAACAGGGTTACTTTGGAGTGATCCACCCCTGCCTTCCCCTCCCAGCTTCCGACAGTCAGAGGCTTACGGTCTCCCCAAGCATGGGGTTGCATCCCTACCCATCCTGGCTACTAGCCATTGATGGACCTTATCCTCCAGGAACGTATCTAGTTCTTTTTTGTTGCCTTCACAACCTCCCCTGGCAACAAGTTCCACATGCTGACTGTGCTGTGTGAAAAAGTACTTAGTCTTGTTTGCATTAGACCTGCTGCCTATTAATTTCATCGGGTGACCCCTGTTTTTTATTATGGGAAAGGGTAAAGAACTCTTTTCTAGGCACTTTCTCCACACCTGTCATGATTTTATAGACCTCTATCATGTCTCCCCTTGCTCATCTCTTTTCTAAGCTCAACAGCCTTAATCGTTTTAGTCATCTGGAAGCCGTTCCATACCCTTGATCATCTTTGTTGCTCTTCTCTGAAACTTTTCCAGTTCAATTTAACCCTTTTTCAGATGGGGTGACCACAACTGCATGCAATATTCTAGGTGTGGGCGTACAACTGATTTATACTGAGGCATTATGGTATTTTCTGTTTTACTTTCCATCCCTTTCCTAATGGTTCCTGACACTGTTAGCCTTGGAAAAGGCTGTGTCTACATAATTATAATTTTTTGTGAGAAAGTTGCAATTTTGCCAGAAAACATTGATTTTGTGTTGGGAAAACTGAAAGGGAAGAGCCCAGGGCTTCCTGGCTGCCTGCCAGGGACTCTCCCAAGATCGAATCTCTGAAAAATTCCCTTCCCAGGGAAACCTCCCATTTGTGACTTTTCCTTCCGATCGGGAATGAAAACACTTCTGGGATTGCCAAATTTTCTGTGGGGAGAAAATTCCTTTTTCCAGCCAGCTCTGGTGTGGGCAGCGAGGCCCCGATCCCCCAATGGGAGTGATTCTG